CAAAGGACAGCCAGAGCTGTAATGTTCTTCCTGACAACAGTGATCACTGCAAAGCTCAGCTCCTACACCCTGAGAAGAAGGGGCAATGCTGCTGCCAGGTCACTCCGGTACACCAGTATCCCTTTTCTCTTCATTTATGTTCTCCTTTCAAGCAACTTATTATCACTTTAGTTCTGGTTTTCTGCTTTTCAAGCACAAATAACCCTTCTTTGGTCCCCTGTGAAAACAAATCTGCTACAACCACAAAGTGCTTCTTGATTTTGTGATCATACAGAGATATGCAATTTATTTAACAAAATATACATTCAAAATACTTAAGATTAGGGTGTATTTGGACTAAGAATGTCATTGCCAAGTACATTTTCATGATGAAAAAGAAGGAACCTAAAGAAGTGAGAACTACTGCATCAGACCAGAAAATTTCAGGCATCTATTATTTCTTTGACAGCTGTAAACACTTCCTTATTACCTAGCCTAATACTAGTTGGAGTCAAGCACTGCTTTTCTATAGGTGTAACCTTGTTACATTTGATTAGCAGAAAGTTTAATTTTACCATCTGATGAAAGTAACCTTTATCACAGCCTGCCCTTTACATTTAAGGTCATTTTCCTACAATGGAAGGTCATGGTCATGGGATGAAACTTCAACCCCTTGCTAGATTGCCATTTGAACCATCACTTTTGGAAACTAAAAAGCAGTCAGTCAGCTTGGTGGGCTTTTGCCAATGCAGACATTTGGTTTATAAGTCATTAAAAAAATAAATAAACACCTAAGTGGATTATAAGAGAGTTTTTGTTATTTTGCAACAAAGCTCTATTGAAAGAGAGGGAGGGGAACCTTCTGTTATGATTGAGGCTGATCTCAAAGCTTGTAACTTGTAAAATAATTAAATCCACCATCTGTATGTTGGTACCTATTTTTAGTAGCTTTTCTTTTTTCTTTTTTTTTTTTTTTTGACTGGAAACCAAGTTAACCTACTGCAGCTGCCAGGACAGGGTAAGAGTGGCAGTGTACCACGGGCGTGCAGTACAGCACGTTCTGTTTAGACTGGAGACCCTACCCTGCACAAAAGGCAGACCCACAACCAAAAAAAGTTCTGCTGGTTTTCTGCCTTGAGGAGGATGTGCTCGCATGAGCTTTTGACTGTATTTTGCCCTTCTTTAGAAACTGAATCAAGTCCCCACCTGGCAAAACCAGATCACTGAACTTAAGAGAGCAAAAGGCTTGAAGATTTTACCACCATACTCAGGAACATAGGGATCTGCTGTAGGTGTTAAAACCCTGAAGAATGATGTAGTGAGGCTAATGGTAAGATGTAATAAAAAATGGATTCAAAGTGTCCCCTACCAGATGGGAAGCTCTCTCTCAGGGGCAGACTAAGCAAAACTAGTGCCTTGCATGGAGATGTTCTGCAGATAAAGTCCTAGAAAGACCCGCAGGTGAGAAGGTTTGCATTACGATGTTATTTGAATTACCAATAAAGATTCATAAAAGCAGCACAAAAGCTTAGGTTATCTTTCCTGCTTTTATTTCTTTAATATAAACTTGAGATTTTTTTTTGGTTTTTTCCCTTGAAACTGACTGTAAGAGGCAGAAAACTAGCAAGATTCTGATCAACAGAACTGAACAAGACCTAACACCCTGAGAGGATGAATTATTTTTACTAATATTATTATTACTTGGATTTGTCAACACTGAGTTAACTTAAATGTATTAGAAACATTTGGGAAAAAACATCTTTATTAAAGATTTTTACCCACCTAAATCTTATCCACACTGGGCACATCTACACATTTAAGACATTTACTGTGGGGCTGCCTAATTAGTAAAGTCTCAGCATGTACATGTGCAGCCCTCTTAGGCCTCGGTAAGCTTATTAACTCCTCTGTAGGTTAATCTTTGTAAACATAAGTACTATCCTACGGCACCACTCTTTAGTGTGCAGTAACATGTGTACACTCTGGTGGGGCTGGCTGGGGCACAAGGGCACCTCAGTACGGGGGCTGTGTGCTTGCTAGCCCTGCACTAGAGCACTCCTTGTGCCCCAGCCAGCCTCTCCATAGCATGTTGAGCTGGGTCAGAGCAGCCCTGGGTTGGCATGCTGACCCCCTGGGTCCCCTGCCACCCAGGGCTGCTCCAACCCAGGTCAATATGCTGCAGTCCTGGGAGCACAGTGCCCAAGAGCAATAAACTCAAGTACGATATGCACCACAGTTTATCACGTCCCATTAATTTTACGTGTAGATGCACCCTCTTAAATTAAGAGCTAAGTTTGCCATGCATATCTTTGAAACTTCCAGCTTGTTGACATTCCTGATATTTCTAAGGTTTAAAGAAGCTTCCTTTATACATCACGCATGCACATACACAAATTTGTCCCCACTCCCCAACTACAGGTATTTTTTAATTTGCCAATCACATGCCATGCATTAGGGTGATGCAGACAGATCCCTGTTATTACAGCAGAGGTCAAGTGTAGCACAGAGTCTTTGTGCTACTGGAGAATAACTAGTATCTGACTAGCTGGACAGTAAGACACGGTAATTCCATGCTAAATGACAGCCTCTGAATGATAAGCCTGTGGCTTCCCTTTTCTTCCCCATTATGAGCTGATACCTGAAAGAGTGAGCAGCAGACTCTCTCTGATGGTACAGTGGACAAGGGAGCAACAGGAATACCAGTGTCATGAGGAGTGAATGAAGACAGCAAACAAAAAAAGAAAAGGTGCAATCAGTGAGAAAGAAGTAAAAGCATCAAGCAGTGAATGCCAAGGTTTTGGGATACTTTTCATGAGGAAGACCAAAACATCTGCATCTGTACATGGGACAAGGATTGCCAGGGCACATGGAGAAAGCAACTGTGCTGGGCAGTTGGTCAGTCGGTTTGCCTAGCCACTTGACAAAATTTGCCTTTAAGAATATGTGATGCCCAGCATGATTACTGCTAATACACTTCCATCCGCAGTGTTGCAGCAGCTCGGGAACTTCCCATGATAAACATTCAGACTCCCTACATGGAAACCAACTGCTTTTCTTCTCTACTTGTAATTGTTCTTTTCATGTCCTTAAAAATGATATAAGCAAGTAAAATAATTATCTTCCCAATCTCATGGAATAGGGACCCGTTTCAAGTGGAACGTGTTTTGAGGAGCACTGTATTTGCTTATTATTATCAAGACTTATCCAGACAAAGCTGGTTTCATATTGCGTCTTC